ATGGGCATAAGGACTGAGCAGTGACATATGGATGATGGGCAAGCAAGAGGAAAGACACCAAGTATAAATAAGCTCTGATGCAACTAACTGAGATAAGTCACATAGGGTCAGATTACAGAGAGCCCTTAAGGCTAAGGAGAGACTGTCTCATTCCCCTTATCTTAGTCTGCATGTCTGCAGGGAGATCTAAATGCTTCTGAGAAGAAGCGCAGCAGGAGGGCAATGAAGATGTTACTGGAACCTAAGGGTGAAGCTATGAGCAACAGCTAACAAAATGATCTACCTATAACAGAAAACCTACCAGACACCACCACCAACATGGAAAAGCAGCTGGGTTGTGTCTCCACCCCCAACCCCCACTGAACTGCCAAAATCAAGAGGGGCTCAAGACAAATCTTTTATGTCAAAGGTTTAAAAAATATGGATGACTCACACAGCCTTACCAATAAGAGCACCTGGGTCTGGTTTCTGTAGAGGATGAATAAAAAGCAACAGGAAAACACCATAAAAACAGGTCCCAAACCCACATATCTCCACGGCTTCTGAAACACAGGCTTTTCCATGGCCTTCATAGAACAATTCCTCTGGCTGTTGAAAATGTCCCAATTTGGTGACTCAAATGTGACCCTGGGGCTTATATCAGAACCCTCAATTCTTTAGTCCTATGCCAGACCACAGAACCCACCTCTTGGGAGGTGTAGCCAAATGAATGAATGAATGAATGAATGAATGAATGAGATAAAGACAATAAACAACCCACCTAGGTAACTAAGGTAACTATGATGAGTGTCCAAGTCTGAGACCCCACTGCACACATTCTTCAGGCCAATCTTGACCTTCTCAGCCATGCTGTGAATTCTGAGTAAAGTTGGAGCCAAGGCTGGCTGACCGTGATCCTCACACGGGCTCCAAACCTGTGTTTCTTTTTGTCTGCCCATTCTTTCTCATCTAAATCCCGTCTCTCCACAAGCTCTTCTTAGTCTCAATTTCTCCAATAAGAGTCAGCTGGGGCTTGTGCTACACTTACTTTCACATCTTCTCAATGATGTCAGTTGTTCACTGACTGAGGACTCAGGTGACTCAGAGATTTAAAGGCAGAAGCAATCATTTACAGGAGAGTACATGGGTTCCAGTGAGGGAAGGGCTCTACAATCCAAATCTCCATATGGCAAAGCCTTTCCATAGCCACAGAAATACAAAGAAAGTAGAGGGATAGCCAGAAAGGAACAAGAGAGTGGAATGAGCTCTACCTTGCGGTCCTACAGTGGCTGGCGGCTGGTTGCAAAGAGGACGACAAAGAGGATAAGATTGAGTAAAGGAAGCAGACCCGAGTGAGAAGCGCAGAGTTAGCCACTTAATTCCAGCCCAGATCATCACTGACTGATAGACAAACATCAAACTCACAGAACAAATGGTTCACAGCACAAGGGACTCCAGATGCCACCTGAGTGTGCTCACACCGTACACACCTCTGCAGCAAATACTCAGACACCTGAGTGTGCTCACACCATACACACCTCACCTCCGTGGGAGTGACTCAGACACCTGAGTGTGCTCACACCATACACACCTCACCTCTGTGGGAGCGACTCAGACACCTGAGTGTGCTCACACAACACACACCTCTGTGGGAGTAAGTCAGACCTGCGTCTTACAAGGACTTCAGTGGCATAGTAGGAGTACAATATGGAAGAAAGAGAGTCAGGATTGACCATCTGGGCTTCTCCTGCCTTCCTATTCTCTTCTACAACACTGAACCAATCACCCTTCACTCCTCTTACCCCATGCATTAAACCACCAGCAATTCTGTAGCCACGGCTTTCAAAGCAGGTCCAGACAGGCCACGTGCCCTGGCTCCACTGCAGCCATCTGGCTTGGGATTAGCCATTACCCTTCTAATTGCCCTTCATGTCTGTTTCCCCTAGGATCTGCTTTTTACACCCAGCCAGAAGGACCCTTTGGAACACGCATGAGGCAGATCATACCCAGCTCACTTTCAGTCTGAAGCACCTTCCTTCCTGCCCCTAGGGGCATCAATCTTCCTTATTCTGTTCTACACTTTCTCCGTGTCATTGTCTTAGCAACTGTTGCTTGACAGATTATTTACTGTGTCTATCTATTGACTATTATCCAATACTCCCTGACCTTAGTTTTCAGCTCGCTGAGGACGGGAACTCTTATCTGTTTAATTTTCCTTAGCGTTTCCAATGCCTAAAACAATATGTGGACCATGAGGTAACTTGTCTGCAAAATAACATTTCACAAAAGTATGACCATTTAAGAAACCTACCTGAGCCACATTCAGTGTGGTCGAAACTTTCTCCTGCTTCGCTTCAACTGTTCGGAAACTAAACGCTCTTTCTAGAACCAATTGGTCAATGCTGGTCAATTCACAGATTTCTTTTAATTCTGTTGGGGAGCAAAGGGAGACAGGCACAAACAGTGAGGTACTCCTGATCACCATCAAGTCCTCAGCTGCCCTTTCTACATCACACTTAGTATGTAAACATGTACAAATTAGAAGAAAACGTCACTGCAATGGTATTTCGGTTTAGTTTCGCTAGTTAAGTTTTTTTTCAACTCTATGAGAAGTCCAAGGTTTGCTTTCTAGATTAGAAACTGGGCAGAAGTTCAAAGCAAGTTCCCTAAGCCAGGCTGCCCCTCTTCGGACTTACCATTTTTATCTTTGATTTTGCTTTCATCCAAACCATTCATTCGTGATTCGGGCTTGAACTCAATGTTCCCCAGTTTCAGCACAGCAGCTACTACCTCCAGGACAGCCTCAGTTTCATGATCCATAAAGCCCACGATCTGCATGGCATTCTGGAGGAGAGAAGCACCTGTTTGCTTTCTGGAGCTCTGTACCTGTTATTGTTGCTGCTGTTTGCTTGTTTTAACCAATAACGAAATCAAATGAATACTATTACAGATCTATTTCTGGGGTAAAAAAGAATTTTACAAGACAAAACAATTATCTTGCTCAGTGGTTCCAAACAGTACTCAAGAGTCTTCCAGGCACCAGGCACACTTAATGACAAGAGTTGTGTACACAAGAGGAGGCTGGGAGCTAAGCCTCAGCCCCCCTCCCCCACTTTCAAATGGACCAGCTGGCTTCCATAGATGTCATTTTTTTTTTTTTTCACACTGGGCTTCTAGAAACAAAACCAAACAAGATGTTTCTACATCCTCCAGCAACAGAAAACAGCCTTGCTTATTTTACAGATGAGAAAAACACCGGCTTGCAAAGGTAAAGTGCCCTGAAGGGTGCAAGGGACACTCATTCATTCACAAATGTGCATGGAGTGCCAACTATGTGCCAGGCAAAGTGGTTACAGAGCTGGCCTTGGATTCAAGTCTTAAGCAAAATCATGCCCAGACTATTGCTTCCATATGTGGGTGTTTACACAATTCTACACAATGGCACCCTGATAGATAGATGCTTTCTTCCCGAGAACAGCTGGCATCTTTCTCATTCTCTCTCTCTCTCTCTCTCTCTCTCTCT